GACGTGCCGCGCTCACCGCCTGTCTTTTCGGCGGTCCTGACCGAGCTTCCGGCTACAGCAACTCTAGGTGCGCCGTCGGCCGCCCAAGTGAGTACTAGATTTTTCTCATTGTCATTCCTCATGTCCCAGCTGGTTGCTTTCTTTATGACCCCCTTTTTTCCTATCTTCAGGAGACCACCTCCTCCGATGATCTCGAGGAGTTATACGCCAGCCTCCATGAAGAGGGAGGTAGCTTGGCCTCGGCTTCTTTGGACGAGGATTCCAGGGCTGTTGTTGAAAATCTCCAGGAGTTCCTCTTCTTTGGGGTTCACCAAATGACCACGGCCGAGGCATTCATGGAGTTCAGGTCTTGCCTGGATACGGCCATGGCGATGGGCCTGCTGGATTCGGCTCAGCTGGATGAGCTCCAGGTACGCCTGGCCGAGGGCGAGGAGATGATTGGTCGATACGCTGAGGCCAACTTGAGGATGACCGAGGGGTGCTCGCTCGAGCAGGAGCTGTTAGCGATCAAAGAACAAGTCCAACCTGCCATGGCTCATTTGAAGGAGAACGACCTCGTTGTCCAACAGGAGAATGAAGAACTTGCGCAGGTCGAGGCTCAGATTGCTGAGCTCCAGGCCCGTCAAGCCCTCATCCTTCAGCGCTGAGATGGTGTGGTTGCGGTCGGCACCGAGCTGAAGTCTTCGGCCAGGCAAATCCTCAAGACGGCGACCGAGAAGAAGAGGGCATTGGCCGAGAGGAAGCTGATCCGGGGGAGGTGGCAGGCGGATATAGACAGCAGAGACATCGCCTGGAGAAGGATAACCTGCCTGATCTGGGGAATGTTTAGTGAGGGGGTCTAATAATTTCTGTACATTTTCTTTTTTCAGAGACAAGTATATGTATATATTTTTTGTTTGATCGGCCATGATTGGCCGTTCTTTTTCTTCTCTTGGTAAAAACAATGTTCTTAATTTAAATATAAGGCGAGGGCCTTTTTTTTTTTTTTTTGAATGCCTTGTATGTTGTTTTTATACCACGCCGTTTTGTCTAACTCGCTCGCCTACTTCCACCTTTTTTTCTTTTTGACTTTTTTGTCGTAGGCCCTTGGTGCCATCTTTTCTTGCACTTGCACCGATTTGTAAGCGTCGAGCCGATCGTTCTAACTTTTCTACACCCTGGGGCACTGTCATCGCGTAGCTCTTCGTCTTTCGCCCAACTCACTTAAAAGCACGAAGAAATTGAGCCTTTAGCTCTATTAGTTTATTAATACCACGGCCGAAGGTCTCAACATAAGGGGATGTGCCCATGGCCGAGTGTTTTGATGTATGGCGCGCCCAAAAAACCTTAGGGAGCAAGTCGCGCCAAGTCTTGGGCTTTCCAAGTGGGTACAGCTCAGTGCAACTCGGTGTTTTCGGCCACTTTTGGGCTAGGCCGTCCTTTGTCACGCATCGGACCCTTCGGTCCGAGAACCCTAAGGGAGCGACTCCAGCTGGGTTGGAAGTGGCCGCCGGACCTGCGGCCTATCGTCCGATGGCTTAGTCTGCTGGGCCATCTGAACGAAGGGCTCGGCCGTTGCGGCAGAGCCGTGCGGCATTAGATAAGCGCCGTAGGTTTGGCTGGGGTGAGTGCATGTTGCGTTGGGCTAGACAGCCATGGAATGAACTGGGCCGGTTTGCTGGGCCGCGGAACGCGTGGGGCTGCTTTTCCCTAATGATACGGCCAAAGCATGGAGTGGGCCGCGCGCCATTTTTGCTGGGCAGGTCGGCCCGGGATTTACCCTATTGGCTGGGATTACCCCCAGTTATCGGTCGGCGGCTGAGAATGCTGGCCATAGCCTGACGCTTGGGTACGGGCAGAGGTGCCGAGGCTGCTGCTTTCACCGTAGAGCTCGAACCTTTCATGCTCTTAGCTTCTCTGTCCGTCTCTGGGAGGTGTCGTGGATGACGGCGGCATCCTTTCCTGAAAGAGCGTCCGTAGTTCTGAGGAGAATCTGTCCATTGCGGCCACGAAGGACGTCTCTATCCTGTCGGCCTGCTTAGCCATCAGATCCTCCACTACAGTTTCCACCATGGTTTTTGACGATGGTCCCGCTGGGGGTGCCAAAAGTGTTGGTCTGTCGCAAATCTCGCGGCCTGGTGCTCTGGGCTGAGGGGATGTGCGTCAACACGTGACGTCCTCCTTTTGGATGCGGTGCGGTTGTGCGCGGGTGTGCCAGCACGGTCTACCGTGCGTCGAGATGGTGATGGGATTTGGGTAGAAGATGTTCAAATGATGCGCCTGTTTTGGGTTCGACTTCTAATCAAACGACTGTGGCCGAGAGAGGAAATGGTCTCGGCCGTCAGGTTCACGGCCTGAGTTACAAGGCCGTTTAGTGGTGGTGTTGGTGGTGGGTTTTAGGCGGTGCTCCGGCGCGTTGCTCGGAGAGCGACGGTCGTATGATATATGGGGTGAATGAGGCGATAACA